GTCTTTCCCACGTTATCTTCCTGCTCGACTCCTCGATCAGCTACTGGGGCGAATCGAATCTGAAGCACCCACCTCTCTGGTTCTCAGAACTCAATGTGGAAAAGACATCCAACATCACAACCTTCACTTTGCGTCCCTACACTTTATCTTTTGTCTTGCTCCGTTCCACCTCGTCCACCCAGAATGCTCCTTCAGATCTCGGCGCTCGGCTCAGCCAGCTGTTGCCAGAAGAGAACCACAGCAGCCCTGACTGCAACACAACATGCACTCAATCTACTGCAATGAAGCCTGTAATTTATTCACTGTTATATATTCACTCCAGCTGGAGGAACACCAGAGAGATGGAGGCTTGCCTCACAGGAGGAACCTCTGCACTACAGCATGCCTCTCTCTCCCCCCTCTCTCTGTCTCTCTCTCATATTTTGGGGTTGGGTATAACCTAAAGGCACCTTGCATTCCTGCGCTGTGATTGGCTGGAGGCTCGGCCAATGAGAGCAGCCAGAGTCAAGCGTTTTCTTGGGGTGTTTGAATCAGGAGGCAGAGTGATAATGCTGCTGTCGATTCTGCTCTCCCTTTCTCTCTGTCACCCTTTCTCTGCTGTTTACTATTGACGATTTTTTTTCTCCTCCCTTGTCTCTCCTCGTCTCACTCTATACTCCGCCTCGTTCTTCTCATCGACATGATCTGAAATATGTCTTGGGTACATTGATCCCTGCTCTGCCATGTGGATGTTTTCTCTGGTGTCCCTCTGTACCTGTCTCTGGCGTGTTTGGTGTTTGCACAAATATCATTTTGAAAAACGCTGACCCAGCTCACAGTGCTGTTGCCATTACAGACAACTGTACGAAGAGAACAAAAAAGAAAGGCAGACACAGAGGTGCAGAGGAGACTGACAGCTTGAGAGACTCGGTGAAGCGTTGTGGGCAGGGGAGGAGGGATTGAGGTTAATGCAGACTGACTCAGGGATGAAAGTGTAAGGTGAGGAAATGTGGAAGATATGGTGAAACAGCAGGATGAAGGAGGATGCTGACAACTGTTTGACAGGCAGAGGGAGAGAGTGCTGAATGAGCTCAAATAATAAGCTCACTGCACGCACGTCGGTACCAACGTTTACCAGAATAACGCATTCAAAGTGGAGCACTGTGCTAATAGATATAAGGCTTCATCAAACACTTTCCCACAGAATCAGCCTGTCACATGACCTGCGGCTTTAGGCAACATGAAGTGATCCATTTCTACATAATTTAACAGCCCAAACAAGAATAAATACAAAAAGTAAATCAAATAATACGGTGTGTCAGCCTGTGTGTGTTTAAGCTTGTGTGAACCCAGGACAGGGCTTGTGGGTGTGTGTGATAAGGTTTCCTCATTAGTAGAGTCGGCCTGAATAATGCAGGCAGGTGTATTGTTGTGGCCGATGAGCCAGGTGCTAATGTAGCTGTCTGAGGGTGGAGGGTCAGACACAGCATGACTTTAATGGATGTCACCACGGGAAAATGAAACCGGACCGCTGGGCTCATGTGACAAACTATCCACCAAATGTGTGTGTCCGTGTGTGTGTGTGTGTGTATATGTCCTTGGGGGACGACTTTAAGTTGTTTACTCGTGAAAAAAAAGAAAAAATATTAGGGTTAAAAGATGTTACTGCAGGATTGATGAGGATTATACAGGACACTTAACCCTATTCAGGACTTTTGGGGTCTTTTGGACCCCAAGCCATTTGGTTTAGGTGACAGGTATTGTTTGTTTATTTTTGAAGATTTTTGCTTAAATATAAAAAGAGGGACATTTGTCATGCATTTGGAATCAAAAATACATCAACTTATCAGAAAATATATTTAACATAGTATAAAAGTCTATAATGAATACCAACAAATATTTTGCACATATTCTTTCTTGGGGTCCAATGGACCCCAAACGACCTTCTACGTATGGCAACATGACAGTCCTGAACAGGGTTAAATATGGCGCCAAAAGAAAAAGCTTTTATCATTCAAATACATGCAAGAGCAAATGTCATGCCTTTAAACCAGAGCAGTAACAGTGTCAAGGTTAGAATAGGAGGACAATACTGTATGATTATATTCAACCATGGGGTTTTTCTCAGGTTTACCAAGTGAGTTGTTCATATACAGTAATTTTAAGTATAGCCCAATCCAAATTGATATGTTTTCAACACTATTTCAATGCAGTAGAAATGTAAAATTGATTCACAAATCTCTAATCCAAGAATAACTCAACTACAAGATGGATTGCCATGACATTTTCCACATGTATTTATGGTGTCCAGATGATGTATCGACCTGACTGTGATGATCCCCTGTTCTTCCCTCCACTGGCATGATGATTCTTATTTAATAGCATCACCAAGTAAAACTTGAATTCATGACCAAAGACCTGAAAGCGTTGCATCTACTTCTGTACTTTCTGCTTACTGAAAACAAGATTTGAGATTTTTTTAGATTTTTGAATTTTTTCACTAGTGATCAACAGTGACCTGCCTCTGTTACACTGGAAAACACAGTTGAGAAAGTGTTAAACGTATATGTGTTATAGTACAAATCTGTAAATTAAAAACAAACTACAAGCAGGAACTTAGTGGATTCTTATTTGCAGTTAAATTAGGTGAATTAGTTTTTAGATAAACAGCCTTGTGTAGAATGATTCATTGATGTATTGGTTTTTATACTTTGGATTATGTAAGCACAATAATTATTACAAAATGTGCACTTTTTGCTTGCTTGTTTTTTAAATTTATGTTAGCATAGCATTATCAACAATGCAGGTTTTGCATGAAAGTTAATTTTTGACCTTGGAAATAATACTTGACAAAAGATCTTTGAACTTTGGATGCAAATACACTCATCTTTTTTGTGTTTGTTGTTAAAATGGAAATCTTCAGCTAGATTTCTGTTTTCTAGCTACATTGTGGCTTGTTTATCAGGCACTTCATAATCGCGGCTTGAGACTATGGTCTAAGATTATCTAACACACATTTAATTTTGTTTAAAAATAAAATTTGAATAACCCTTTGAACTTATTCCCAAAATGTATAGAATTAGTGGTTAAACCTTGAAACAGGGTTTACTGGGTAAATATTGGCAGCATGCAGGATAATTAGTAGTACACTGTATGTATGCGTGTGTGTGAATATGTGCATGTGACCTCTACCATCCTATCATTCCTTCATACCGCCCCAGGAGGCCATAACTGTGTCGACAGGCTTGTTAAATTCTAATTTTAGCCTCAATCGTTAACGGTGAGTCCTGAGGAGTCCTGCCAATGTTTAATGAAGTCTTCATTTGATGTGTAACACCAATGAAATGGCCTAAAGCATGTGTTAAGTCAGACACTTACAGGTTATAGTGGCAGATGAATGACGACGAAGACATGAAAGCAACTTATATCACACTGAAGTTCTCTGTCGCTTTCTGGATATTTCTCACTTGCACGCATAAGTTTGTTGTTGTTGTTTTTTAAAAATTGATTGTACTGGTTCTACTGTCTCCAAACACCTCAGCTGTTTGGAGCTCAAGCAAAGTTTCATACAATTCAAACTGGTTGTGAATCTATTTGATGTAAGGTGACACATAGCGTGCTTCTACTCTGTGACAGAGTGAGGGCAGTTCAGGTTATTTATTGCAGTCCAAGGTTAAAATAGGTGTTGCTGGAATGAAGACGAGGAATGACCAACATACACTGTAAATAAACACACACATGCATACGCACACACTGGACTAAACATGTCTCTGTATAGTACATACATAAAGTATACTACTCCAGCGCATATACTGTACATTACATGTCCTTTGACGGAGAACCCAAACACACCATTTTTAAAACAATGAGCTGTTGTATTTTACTGTAATGTATACTGTTTGTGTAGTATGCATATCTTAGTTTATCACCTATGTAACACACAAAACACAATAGTTGAGATGAAAGTTATTCTGAGCTTGGAAAAGGTAGTTTGACAAATAAACAAATCAATAATAATAATTCAAGGGCCACTGAATAACTTTTTTCAGAGCTTTGAGCCACATCAGGGGACCCCAGGAAGACCCCCATGATGGGAGCTTATGGGGATCCAAATAAATAAACAAACCAGAGACTGGAGTTACAATCAAACCCCCAGTATATGAGTATCTGTATGTGAGTTTCATACCTCCATGTCAACAGAGTGTGGTTTAAGGAAAATCTAATATAAGTGGATCTCTTCCTAAAAGCAGGTTTCCACATAAGTTACGTCTGTAAGCAGAAATGTAATGTCTTATGAAAAGCACTGATGACCTATGCATGCTGTTTGATGGATCCTCTTGCAAAATTAAAATAACTTTCTTGCTTGCCTGCTCCTTTGTTTTAGGTTGAGATACGTTTCAGTATATGATCAGACGGAGGTTTAGAACCTTAAAAGTAATAAAAATTTAAAAACCGCAACATTTTGTTTTATCAAGCTGATGCTTTGCAATCAGTTGAAGTTTGCCACGAATCTCTCTGTAATTTCTGACATTTCATCCAACTGCATGTCTTGTAAAATGTGTTACTTGTAATGCAGTTTCATTGATTTTTTTTTTTGGCAGCGTCTGAGACTTGATGAATGGACTCAAACTCTTATCTCCTACTGTGATGCTGATCGAGGAACAATTTGGTCAAGAATGTCTCTTCTTTTCTCTCCCCTTGCCTCCTTCTGTCATCTCTTCCCTGCGTCATGCCAGTGATGTATGTGAAAGGTTGGGGGGTCAGACCAGGTCTGAATGCAAAGTCTTGTCTGACACTGAGTGCTGATGTTAGCAGGACACTGTCCTAACTTTCATCAAAGGGAGACTCCTTCAAAGCTTTGTGTAACACTGTCACTCGCTCTTTATTTCTGCTCCGAATATTGCATTAATGAGGGGATCCCGGCTTATCCAGCTTCTCACTTCTTTTTAGGGTGATCAAAGGAAGAAAACTCAAGAGTTGTAGGAGGTTTTGCATTGCTCAGTAATCAGTTATGAACTTACCTGAGCCCCACATCGACCGCCTCTGTTCTTCACGATGCTCAAAGTGATCCTTTGTCCAGTAGAGAGTCCAGAGGTAAGTGTGTCAGCCAGCATAAAGTAACATAAAGATACAGTCTCCTCTCTGAGTTGAATAAATAAATTGTTACGCTATTGTGGAGAGATAAACAAAGTAGCACTCAGCGACATGAGTGCAGGACTCGCACCAGTCAGCTGGAGAGTGGAGAGGGAAACACTCGGTGCAGGCAGCCGCATGCCCACAGTGTAGCTGCATCAAACAGCAAGCATCTTGACGTTCACCTTCTTCATCTTCCTTTATCTCTCTGTATCCACCTTCTCTCAGATTGCTTGTAATCTCTCTCTGCGTCTCTCTGTATTTCCTCTGTGTTTCCCCTTCATGCCGTCGCCTCCTTCCCGGGAGTGAAGGAAACAAGTGCACAAGATTCCAGAGGCTAATTCTGCTTCTTAGGACGGGGGAACCTAATATGTGAGGACAACTGTGGAAGGAGGGAGATACAGGCTGAGAGAGAGTGTAAGGAAAAGGAGGGGCAGGACAGAGGAGGGGAGACCCAGCGACGGATGGCAGATCAGAGGAAATAAGGGCTGGAGTGTGTGTGTGTGTGTGTTTTTGTTGTTGAGGAGGAGGAGGAGGGTGGCAAATCACTGAAACTTGAAAGAAAATGTTGACATGGTGAAGCAAAGGGAAACATGATTGGTGGATAAAACAGATGGCTTACAGGCAGATATGTTGTGTATTTTTTGGATTTGTTTGATCTAGAAATGGGTTCCCACACAAATAGATTTGCCCAACAGCTTTCTGTCTCTCATATGTTAATTGGTTGGTAGCTCTAATAAACAATGAGCAAAGTGTGACTTACTTACACCACAATCCAGAACGTTGCTTAAATACTACAGGTCCCTGATCACCTCCATTCTCCATCACTAAAACTGTCAACTATCATTAATTATGCAATCGTTGGATTTAGGGCAAATTAAAGTAATATCAAGAACAGGCCTCAATTACTGCTCTGTAATGTGAAAACTTGGATTTGTTTTTTTGATTTTCAAATGTGTCAGAAACATCATCATCATCGTTATGTGAGGTAAACAGTGTGAGACCTTTCCTTTTAATTAGCCTGACTCACCAGATGTAGCTTGTGGATATAAACCTTAAAGCATTAGGCATGTTTTTCGTTCGGCTTTCTCCTTTCTACTTGTTATCATTTTTCAACATCCGCACGACTACTGGAAACAGCAACAACAACCTCCAACAACCCACTACATTAAAAATATCAAGGTTTGCAGAGGATTTGAATCACACAGTAAGATGTTTTTGTTTTAGTTTATTTTTTTTTAGTGAATTAGCCATTTAACAGCAGTTCTCACCTCCCTGTGTGCAAACATTCCATCAAAACAATTCCCTTGTAATTATTTTGAGGGGACACCATTTTGAGGGGACACCACTGCTGCATCCTGGGCTTAGCTCCGTCCAACATAATTGTGGTTGGTTAAAGAAGTTCAAACAAGTCCAAATGTTGTTTTTGTTGTTGTTGTTGTTGTTTTTCTTGCACTCTAATGATAATGAGGTGCAGCCAGCCTATTGCAGGCTGCAGAATGGTTTGGCAATGCAAAATATCTGGCTTCTTTGGCAACATTAACAGCCAACCAGTAGCGATGCATTTTATATCCACCTGCAATGACTATTTTGCCAGAATTGAAGAGAGGAGTAGCTGTAGTGATGAAGATGAAGTATGCTATGTCAACAGCAGGTGGAGCTTAGGGTGGAAAACCCATAAAATGTAAAAGAAAAGCTTTTGATGCTCAAGATAAAAAAAAACAAAAAACACTTGCAGTTGACAGGATGGATTACAGTTTACACATTATAGAAAGCAACTAACTACGAGCCATACACCGTAAACACACAGTGGAAAGTGTTTTTACTCTCACTGCTAGAGGAGAAGGACAGAAGTTCCACACTGTAGGTTTAAGTTATCAAAGGGTTCTTTCTCCATTGCTGGTCTTGGTGCTTCTATGAATTTTTTTGTGATGATACATAGCAAAAAACCATATACATTTGTCTGTACCAAAGTAACTCCTATAATATCTTTAGATGTCTTATGACATGGTACAAATTCTGCAAAAATTCAGTATCCCATGTGATGTATTAGTTTGATGAATTACCGTACTTATTCTTAAATAGTGGGACAGTTAGCAAACAGACATTTCTGTTACTTTTATCCATGAACAGATTCAAGAAAAGTGCTCCACTGGCATGCTACACGTAACACAGTCTTCAAGCTGTATTAACCGATTGTCCAGCCACTTAAGTGGAATACAACAAACAGCAATATTTTATCCTATTCAGGACTTTCGGGGTCTTTTGGACCCGAGGCCATTTGGTGTAGGTGACAAGTACTGGTTTTTTGTTTTTGCAAAAAACAATTTAAATATAAAAAGAGGGACATTTGTCATGCATTTGGAACCAAAAATACGTCAACTTATCAGAAAATGTATTTCTCAAAGTATAAAAGTCTATAATGAATACCAACCAATATTTTGCACACATTCTTTCTTGGGGTTCAGTGGACCCCGAAAGACCTTCTACGTATGGCAACATGAAAGTCCTGAATAGGGTTAAACATGCATCCTTAAAAAATGATTGTGGCTCACATGTCATCCAATAGTAGTCTGTTTACACATCCAGAGAACACCAAGCAACATATTTATTCATTCAATCATTTGGATTCATGTGTCTGTCCAACAGATAAATGCAAGTCTATCGCATTTGTGGTTTTTACCAACTCCTGAGTCGATAGCTGTGGTTTTATCAGAGCTCTTCAGCTGAAAGCACCTGCCTGCTGCTTCTAAGAACAATTCTGATGAGAGTGGTGAAAGTGAAACAACACAGTAAAGTTGTGGGCTGGAAAACCGCACACAGTTAGCTGAAAGATGCTAAAATGCTCCTTAAAGTTGTGATGAACTGCAAAGCTGAGCAATAATTTTCTGTGGGGTCATCACCGCAAGCTGCTCATGCCACATTTTATTCAGTACAGACAGGACACTTTGTCAGATTTAGCTATTTATTTTGGAATGACATGCATTTTGTGTTTGGAGGTGACGCTGCTTGAGTGATGCTCTGGAACAATATCAGCAAGCATGACACAGACAGTCCCTGAGATCACAAACCCCCAAACCCTCAAACCTGCACCACCGAAGGGAGCAGATGAGCAGAGTCACCTTGAAATGAAATGGACTTTAATGAAATTAGCCTATGTATAGTGAGAAGCGTGTTAGATTTCCTCTGAATTCATGCAAGTAACATGGCTTTTTCATGTGAATGCATAGAATTAGCAACATGCTGAATGCAGACAGATGAACGTCGCACAAGACACTGATAGTGGCTTGATACAAAGGAAATACTATGTAAGATAAGACTATGTGAGAGGTCAGGAACGACGCTTTTCTTATGAATTCCTGCAAGCGTGCACAACCTTCACATGTGGATGCAGGGGCTCAGCGGCATGCTGAATGCACACAGATGAACATCTGCCAAGGCACCATTATAGTGACTTGATACAAAGGAAATATACGATGTGAGATATGAAACTATGTGCTGCATCAAGCATTACACATTTCCTTTGGATACGTGCAGACATGCACAGCTATCACATCTGGATGCAGAAGATCAGCGGCATGCTGAATGCACACAGATGAGCATCTGGCAAGGCATTATTATAGTGTCTTGATACAAAGGAATTATACTATGCAAGAAATGAGACTATGAGTGGCGTCAAGCATGACGCATATCCTTTAAATTTGTGCAGGCATGCACGACTTTCATGAACTGACATGAAACGGTGCTCCAATTCTATGTAATTATCACAGATTATATATAATATGAACTATTCATGGACTGTGAGCAATATTTGGTGGCCTCTAGGTAAAGGAAATGTTCACACACTGCGGTGGATGAGCGGAAGGAATAGGCTGTGGAGCTTAGAGGAGAGACCACAGTGTTCACATGAGAGGTGAAGGTGAGCAACCAAGGCCTGGGCAGCGCCTTCCCGAAGTCTGTGTTGAACAGAGGCTCATTTCCGCTTGCATTGGTTACTCTTTCCAGGCACCGAATCACAAAAGAGAAGGAACAGAAAGCATAGCAGCGCTGGCAATTAAGATCAGAGCACCTTAATAATATTAATCAGCATTCAACGGTCAATCGATTGCTTATGGTTATCTAAAGAGAAGACAGATATAGCGAGGTCATGCAAGGATGATCTGCAATTGGTGAAGAAAGATGGCACGGAGCAGGGCTCCAGACTACCTCTTTCACCAGCAGCACTTCCACCGTGTCAGAGCCGAAACAATTTACTTGTTAAAAATCTGCTTGTCATTGCACCTTAAATTTATTGATGTTCCCCAAACACTGTGAAGGATAGCTGCTGCTTGGTGGCTGCAGTTTGCTCAGAAAGGTGTGATCAAAATTATTTTGAAAAGAGTGAAATAATGCATTCTAATGAACAGACCAAGATGACCAAGGACCTGCCCTTCTCCACCAGCCACCTTTATATTTGAAATACACGGCAGTTCGACAGCTTGTTGTATGCATCAGCCAGGGACAGACTAGCAGAGCCACTGAAGTTATGAGAGTACTCCTTTTCGCTAATTTAGCAAATGCAGGAAATGCATGGACTGTAGCTGCTCCTGCCAGCTGGAGTGACAGCAGAACAGTTTGTGATTTACTCGCACAAATGTGACCATTTGAAATTTAAACTTGCTCTTAAAAATTTTGTCACAGTCTGGAGCCCTGAGTGGGACTGTTTGTGCATTAAGCTTCTTAGTCATAAGGAGCTGATAAGCCAATGAACAACTTCACTGTGCCAGACTAATTTTAGTTTTATCTAAAAGCTTTGAAATCTACCTCAAACACAGTCATTGTAGTATTTTATAGCCTCAAATCATGATCTTGAGAAGAACAAATATTTCAACACAACCATTTAGACTTTTCCTCCACCGCCTGATTCAGATGAACTGAACAGAATTAGATCGGCATCACCACCTGCTAGTATGTGGCTACAGAGGTGAGGGCACATGGCTGCAACTGGAGGAGAAGGGTCACACCAGCAGGGGGCGCTGGAGCTGCAGGAGTCACAGTGGCTCGGGTATGACGTCAGTCTGGTGGGCGGAGACAGCAGATTTGAACCCGGAAGCTGTGAGGCAGGTAACAGGCACTGATTTTGGGGCTTGAATTAGAGTTTATGATGTTTAGAGGAGAGACTGGTGGATGTCTGGAGGAGACGTGAAGAGGGGAAGTGTGGTGTAAGGACTTCCGGAGCTGGATCAGGATAAAGGTGGTTAAATCTCAAC